TCTACAAGGTAGTTACTGTAGTGTTGTAGTCTCAGGTGTAGTCTACAAGGTAGTTACTGTAGTGTTGTAGTCTACAGTGTAGTCTACAAGGTAGTTACTGTAGTGTTGTAGTCTACAGTGTAGTCTACAAGGGAGTTAGTGTAGTGTTGTAGTCTACAAGGTAGTTACTGTAGTGTTGTAGTCTCAGGTGTAGTCTACAAGGTAGTTACTGTAGTGTTGTAGTCTACAGTGTAGTCTACAAGGTAGTTACTGTAGTGTTGTAGTCTCAGTGTAGTCTACAAGGTAGTTACTGTATGTGTTGTAGTCTCAAGGTGTAGTCTACAAGTAGTTACCGTAGTGTGTAGTCTACAGTGTAGTCTACAAGGTAGTTACTGTAGTGTTGTAGTCTCAGTGTAGTCTACAAGGTAGTTACTGTAGTGTTGTAGTCTACAGTGTAGTCTACAAGGTAGTTACTGTAGTGTTGTAGTCTACAGTGTAGTCTACAAGGTAGTTACTGTAGTGTTGTAGTCTACAGTGTAGTCTACAAGGTAGTTACTGTAGTGTTGTAGTCTCAGGTGTAGTCTACAAGGTAGTTACTGTAGTGTTGTAGTCTACAGTGTAGTCTACAAGGTAGTTACTGTAGTGTTGTAGTCTACAGTGAGTCTACAAGGTAGTTACTGTAGTGTTGTAGTCTACAGTGTAGTCTACAAGGTAGTTACTGTAGTGTTGTAGTCTACAGTGTAGTCTACAAGGTAGTTACTGTAGTGTTTGTAGTCTACAGTGTAGTCTACAAGGTAGTTACTGTAGTGTTGTAGTCTCAGGTGTAGTCTACAAGGTAGTTACTGTAGTGTTGTAGTCTCAGGTGTAGTCTACAAGGTAGTTACTGTAGTGTTTGTAGTCTCAGTGTAGTCTACAAGGTAGTTACTGTAGTGTTGTAGTCTACAGTGTAGTCTACAAGGTAGTTACTGTAGTGTTGTAGTTCTCAGTGTAGTCTACAAGGTAGTTACTGTAGTTTTGTAGTCTACAGTGTAAATCTACAAGGTAGTTACTGTAGTGTTGTAGTCTCAGGTGTAGACTACAAGGTAGTTACTGTATTTTGTAGTCTACAGTGTAGTTTTACAAGGTAGTTACTGTATGTGTGTTAGTAGTCTACAAGGTAGTTTACTGTAGTGTTGTAGTCTCAGTGTAGTCTACAAGGTAGTTACTGTAGTGTTGTAGTCTACAGTGTAGTCTACAAGGTAGTTACTGTAGTGTTGTAGTCTCAGGTGTAGTCTACCAGGTTAGTTACTGTAGTGTTGTAGTCTACAGTGTAGTCTACAAGGTAGTTTTCTGTAGTGTTGTAGTCTCAGGTGTAGTCTACAAGGTAGTTACTGTAGTGTTGTAGTCTCAGGTGTAGTCTACAAGGTAGTTACTGTAGTGTTGTAGTCTACAGTGTAGTCTACAAGGTAGTTACTGTAGTGTTGTAGTCTCAGGTGTAGTCTACAAGGTAGTTACTGTAGTGTTGTCGTCTACAGTGTAGTCTGCAAGGTAGTTACTGTAGTGTTGTAGTCTACAGGGTGTAGTCTACAAGGTAGTTACTGTAGTGTTGTAGTCTACAGTGTAGTCTACAAGGTAGTTACTGTAGTGTTGTAGTCTCAGGTGTAGTCTACAAGGTAGTTACTGTAGTGTTGTAATCTCAGGTGTAGTCTACAAGGTAGTTACTGTAGTTTTGTAGTCTACAGTGTAGTCTACAAGGTAGTTACTGTAGTGTTGTAGTCTACAGTGTAGTCTACAAGTGTAGTTACTGTAGTGTTGTAATCTCAGTGTAGTCTACAAGGTAGTTACTGTAGTGTTGTAGTCTACAAAGGTAGTCTACAAGGTAGTTACTGGGATGTTACTCTAGTGTTGTAGTCTACAAGGTAGTTACTGTAGTGTTGTAGTCTACAAGGTAGTTACTGTAGTGTTGTAGTCTACAAGGTAGTTACTGTAGTGTTGTAGTCTCAGGTGTAGTCTACAAGGTAGTTACTGTAGTGTTGTAGTCTACAGTGTAGTCTACAAGGTAGTTACTGTAGTGTTGTAGTCTCAGGTGTAGTCTACAAGGTAGTTACTGTAGTTGTTGTAGTCTACAGTGTAGTCTACAAGGTAGTTACTGTAGTGTTGTAGTCTACAAGGTAGTTACTGTAGTGTTGTAGTCTCAGGTGTAGTCTACAAGGTAGTTACTGTAGTGTTGTAGTCTACAGTGTAGTCTACAAGGTAGTTACTGTAGTGTTGTAGTCTCAGGTGTAGTCTACAAGGTAGTTACTGTAGTGTTGTAGTCTACAGTGTAGTCTACAAGGTAGTTACTGTAGTTGTGTCTACAGGTAGTTACGGTAGTGTTGTAGTCTCAGTGTAGTCTACAAGGTAGTTACTGTAGTGTTGTAGTCTCAGGTGTAGTCTACAAGGTAGTTACTGTAGTGTGTTGTAGTCTCAGGTGTAGTCTACAAGGTAGTTACTGTAGTGTTGTAGTCTCAGTGTAGTCTACAAGGTAGTTACTGTAGTGTTGTAGTCTCAGGTGTAGTCTACAAGGTAGTTACTGTAGTGTTGTACTCTACAGTGTAGTCTGCAAGGTATTTAATGTAGTGTTGTAATCTAGTGTAGTCTACAAGGTAGTTACTGTAGTGTTGTAGTCTACAGTGTAGTCTACAAGGTAGTTACTGTAGTGTTGTAATCTCAGGTGTAGTCTACAAGGTAGTTACTGTAGTGTTGTAATCTCAGGTGTAGTCTACAAGGTAGTTACTGTAGTTTTGTAGTCTACAGTGTAGTCTACAAGGTAGTTACTGTAGTGTTGTAGTCTACAGTGTAGTCTACAAGGTAGTTACTGTAGTGTTGTAATCTCAGGTGTAGTCTACAAGGTAGTTACTGTAGTGTTGTAGTCTACAAGGTAGTTACTGTAGTGTTGTAGTCTACAAGGTAGTTACTGTAGTGTTGTAGTCTACAAGGTAGTTACTGTAGTGTTGTAGTCTACAAGGTAGTTACTGTAGTGTTGTAGTCTACAAGGTAGTTACTGTAGTGTTGTAGTCTACAGTGTAGTCTACAAGGTAGTTACTGTAGTGTTGTAGTCTCAGTGTAGTCTACAAGGTAGTTACTGTAGTGTTGTAGTCTCAGGTGTAGTCTACAAGGTAGTTACTGTAGTGTTGTAGTCTACAGTGTAGTCTACAAGGTAGTTACTGTAGTGTTGTAGTCTACAAGGTAGTTACTGTAGTGTTGTAGTCTCAGGTGTAGTCTACAAGGTAGTTACTGTAGTGTTGTAGTCTACAGTGTAGTCTACAAGGTAGTTACTGTAGTGTTGTAGTCTCAGGTGTAGTCTACAAGGTAGTTACTGTAGTGTTGTAGTCTACAGTGTAGTCTACAAGGTAGTTACTGTAGTGTTGTAGTCTACAAGGTAGTTACTGTAGTGTTGTAGTCTACAGTGTAGTCTACAAGGTAGTTACTGTAGTGTTGTAGTCTCAGGTGTAGTCTACAAGGTAGTTACTGTAGTTCTGTAGTCTACAGTGTAGTCTACAAGGTAGTTACTGTAGTGTTGTAATCTCAGGTGTAGTCTTCAAGGTAGTTACTGTAGTTTTGTATTCTACAGTGTAGTCTACAAGGTAGTTACTGTAGTGTTGTAATCTCAGGTGTAGTCTACAAGGTAGTTACTGTAGTGTTGTAGTCTACAGTGTAGTCTACAAGGTAGTTACTGTAGTGTTGTAGTCTACAAGGTAGTTACTGTAGTGTTGTAGTCTCAGGGGTAGTCTACAAGGTAGTATTTTACTGGATATGTGTTGTAGTCTCAGTGTAGTCTACAAGGGAAGTTACTGTAGTGTTGTAGTCTACAGTGTAGTCTACAAGGTAGTTTACTGTAGTGTTGTAGTCTCAGGTGTAGTTACTAGTTTAAGTGTTGTAGTCTACAAGGTAGTTACTGTAGTGTTGTAGTCTCAGGGGTAGTCTACAAGGTAGTTACTGTAGTGTTGTAGTCTCAGGTTAGTCTACAAGTATACTATAGTGTTGTGTCTACAGTGTAGTCTACAAGGTAGTTACTGTAGTTAGTTGTAGTCTACAAGGTAGTTTACTGTGTGTTGTAATCTACAGTGTAGTCTACAGGTAGTTACTGTAGTGTTGTAGTCTACAGTGTAGTCTACAAGGTAGTTACTGTAGTGTTTGTAGTCTACATGTAGTCTACAAGGTAGTTACTGTAGGTGTTGTAGTCTACAAGGTAGTTATAATGTTGTATCTACAGTGTATCACAAGGTAGTTACTGTAGTGTTGTAGTCTCAGGTGTAGTCTACAAGGTAGTTACTGTAGTGTTGTAGTCTACAGTGTAGTTACTGTAGTGTTGTAATTCTCAGGTTTATTTGTAGCTACAGGGTAGTATAACAAGAGATGTTTAATCTCATGATGTATCGCTACAAGGATATTACTTGTGTTTGTAGCAAGAGTTAACTATTACGGTGATTATTTAGTTTCAGGTGTAGTCTACAAGGTAGTACTGAGTGGATGAGTGTGACAGGTTAATACTACAATTGTAGAAAACTTTAATGTGTTGTCATTCGGCCCTGTAGTACAAGTGGTTTAGTAGTGTTGTAGTCTACAGAGTTGTTTACTGTATTATTCAGGTGGTTACATTATTATGTGTAAAGTTGATAGTACTACATCACTGAATCAAGGTGAATGAATGTGACAGATTATCTAAAATAATTATAATGTCTTTGTGAGTCAATCCAGTCAGTATACAAGAATTACGTCAGTGGAGATTAAATGTGTTTCAATGTACTTGTTTGACTACATTATCTAAGGAGTTACTGTTACTTAGTTAAGTGCACGAAGTTGAAGCTATCGTGACATCCATGCCAAAATCACATTTGAATTAGTATGTTGGTACTGTAGTGCAAATTTCTGATTCCGGTACAGAGCAGTTACAAAGGGTACTGAACCTGTAGCACATGAGAGCAATCTCACGATAAGTACGCTCCTTGCGGAACTGTATCTGTCACAATTGAAGAGTGTTCTCAAGTGCTCAGATAGTTATGGTACGTTCACCAGAAGAGCGACGACAGTGGGAAAAGATCGCTGCTTCATTCAATGACTCGCCAACGGTCACTTCCCGCACCGCCCCTGAGCTGAGGAAGGCTTGGGAGAACATGAAGTATCGGGCCAAGCATGCTCTAGACAGGTGAGAAACTCCTTTTCTTGTGTAGTACGGGTGGTCCTCGACTTACAATAGGGTTACGTTCCGACAAACCCATTGTAAGTCAAAAATATCATGTCATATATGAATATGATATACTAAATAAATACTAACTACTGTCACTCAATAAGTGAATAAACAGATAATTACTGTAACTAACTAAATACCAATATTGAAAGTAAATAAATGAATCCAACTTGCTGCCTTCATGCTGGGTAATTATCTTAAATTTCATCTCCAAATTAATTGCTGCCGCACCATTGTAAAGTTAAAATATCATAAGTCAAACCATCGTAAGTCGAGGAACTCTTGTAACCAACGCATTCACAGCTAATGCCCAGTTTGCGTCCATCCGTTATGGATGGACACAAATATAAGTTTATTTAAACATTATTCAATGATTATTCAGTAATGGGTGAGACTTGAGTCCATGTTGAAAGCCCATGGTTACGCAGAGCATTTCAGGCAAGCTCAAGCCTAAGACTACAAGATCTTCAATGTATTTATATCTTTAAATGTCTGTTGTAATCTTGAAATTGGCTACTTAACACCCCGCTCTCCCTTACAGGCAGTACCGCATGAGGAGAGATTCAGTGAGTCGAGATTCTTCTCCTCCGATGCATCCTCCAATGGAAGCCGAGGGAGACTCCCCAGTGGCTCTCCTCCCCAGCCAATGCCTGGAGACTATCATGCTACATGAGAACCAGGAACACCATGTCAAGATGGAACCAGGTGTGTGTATGTGTATGTACATGTAAGTGCTCCTGGACTTACAGTGGGGTTATGTTCTGACGAACCCATCGTAAGTTAAAACTATTGTGAGTCTAATGTGACTATGTGCTAAAAAAATGACTACTGTCACTGAATAAGTAAATAAAAAATAATTACTATAATTAAATACCAGTATTGAAAAGTAAATAAATGAACGTAAGTTACGGACTTGCTGCCTTCATGTTGGGTAATTATCTTAAGTTTCGTCTCCAAAGTAATTGCTGATACACCATCGTAAAGTTGAAATATAATACAGTGGACCCCCGCATAACGATATTATTTCAATCCAGAAGTCTGTTTGGGTGCCGTTATAGACCGAATTTGTTCCCATAAGAAATATTGTGAATTAGATTAGTCCGTTTCAGACCCCCAGAAATACACCTACAAAAGCACTTACAAAAATACACTTACATAATTGGTCGAGTTGGGAGCTGACCGTTATGCGGGGGTCCACTGTACTGTAATAATAATAATATTGCAGCTTGAAGGTCATTTAAATTGTGATGTCAGTATACTTCTGGCAAAACAGGGATGTACTGAGTGAATGTGAATGTGTTTTTTTTTTTTGCTCCTCATCTTAGTGGAAGGCAAGAAACTGATAGTGTAAATAATGGTGACTGTTTCCTTTTTTGGGTTGCCCTACCTCGGCGGGAGACGGCTGGCATATTAAAAAAATAAAATAGCAAATGATCACGTCAGTCTTCAGTGTTTGTGTATTAGGGCAACCTTGTATCAGATTCTGAGTGTTTAGTGCTTTCAGGATTCCTCTGCTTCATAGTTTCTGTGTAACAGTAATATTAAAGGAGGTGGACTGGTAAGCCAGTGGTCAGATGACCTAAAGCTCATGTCTAAGACCAGTGTCATGAAACACTTGCCCTGTTTCCTGACAAACCTAACCTAACCTAATATATCCTAACCTAACCTAACCTAATATATCCTAACCTAACCTAACCTCACCTAACCTAACCTAACCTAACCTAATCTAACCTAACCTAACCTAACCTAACCTAACCTACTCTAACCTAACCTAACCTAACCTAATCTAACCTAATCTAACCTCACAAACCTTACCTAACCTTCAGTTTCTAAAAATTGTTATTGGATATTTCACAGATAGCGGAGAGGAATATTACGACCACGAAGGTGTGGCAGAACCACTGGCATCGATAGCTTCCATGTCAGTGCCACCGATGATGCTGCCAGTCACCCCTCCAACCAGGGCCACCTCTCCAACCCCTTCTTCAGGTCCAGAGAACGGCCACATCCAAACCAAACACGGCAGAGGTCACAAGAGAGGGACTTATAACATTCTCTGTGACCACGACATAGTGCTCGTCAGGAAGCAGAGAGAGCTAATGGACCTGCAGCTGGAAGTGTATAATCTCAAGAAAATGGTTGAGCTGAATAAACTACAGCACATGCAGAAAACTTACGAGATGGACCTGAAACACAAAGAAGAAGAACACAACTTGAAAATGTGTTTGATGAGGAGAGCGATGGACAAGTGAACACTGGTGCTCGCTGCTAGTGCAGATAACGCCACAATTAACTAGGATTATAAGCATCTGTATTGTATCAAGTGACCTCTGATTATACAGCACCTCTTTTCAGTGTTCTGCATTTTCATTGGCTTCAGATTGAGCCATTGTTCATTATGTTCCATCTGCCGATGATAGTCACCGGTGGGTGGAACAATGGTTCAGTTGAAGGCCAACCAAAACGTGGAACACAAAATATGCGTTGTATATGGGGGGCCCTTGATTTTGGCAACCCTTGATCACCAAAATGCATTAGTTCCACATTTTTCCACAAATATATAGTTAAATAGATTTACATTAGCTATAATTTATTTTGAAACGGAAGGCATTATTGCTTATTAATTTTACTAGTATTGATTTCAGACATGATATTTGTATTTAAATTAAAAGATGTAATAGTTTTTATAGTATATGACAACAATTTTGATATATAAGATTTATAAGAGCCACTTTGTTAAGATATGAGAAAGTATACATGAAGACAATACACAAGTCAAAAATACTGTGGCTGGAATATTTCACCGAACACCAACACTTGGGTGAGGATCTTGTGATGATGATGTAACGCCCTAGTGTGACTTGATATTTCATTATAAGGTTCCTTTCCTAAGTGCAGGTTTTTGGTGAACGATGTATGAATGGTATACAGTACGGGCAAGATAAAGAATTAGACGTGTGCAACATCTGGGTATCTTTAATTTGTAAACGTTTTGACATCCAGTGGCTTTATCAATACAAGGACATAATGTGAAGACTGTACCCCTCAAGGAAGGTTCCTTGACGTTGGTGAGGGGCTTTTGATCTAGGGCATTGGACCAGTGCTCCAGTTCCCTGAATTAAGCCTGGATACTTTCCACATCCCCCCCCCCACAGCTGCTGCATAATGCTACGGATTTAGCATTCCCCTTTGATTATAATAATATTGTGAAGACTAGAAGTACAGTGGACCCCCGCATAACGATTACCTCCAAATGCGACCAATTATGTAAGTGTATTTATGTAAGTGCATTTGTACGTGTATGTTTGGGGGTCTGTAATGGACTAATCTAATTCACAATATTCCTTATGGGAACAAATTCGGTCAGTACTGGCACCTGAACATACTACTGGAATGAAAAAAGTTCGTTAACCGGGGTCCACTGTATATACTTAAGACAGGGTAATCAGTCTCTCAGCCTTGGAGGTGAAGAGCACTGTAATCTTCAGATCTACAAAGCACAGGCAGGAAACCATACCATGGGCGGGATTTGAACCCGCGGTCAGAGAGTCTCAAAACTCCAGACCGTCGCATTAGCCACTGGACCAGCTAGCCACAATAAGATTCGTCCAACTAGGTATATTTCTACAACATAGGAAGGTTAGCATAGGCACCACTGTGACTACAAATGCAAGTTTTTACAGACGAATCTCCAGCTAGCGTGGCCGTGACGAACTCTAGCTCAAGTCCCCTCTCTGACCGCGGGTTCAAATCCCACCCGTGGTATGGTTTGTTTACAATCGTGTCATTATGATTTCGTGAGTCACAGGCAGGAAGACTGCTACTTGAACAATTAAATTCTTCAAGACCACAATGCTCATCACTTCTAGGGCTGAGGGACTGATTACCTCATCTTTTATATATATAGTGGACCCCCGGTTTACGATCAGCTCCCAATGTGACCAATTATGTAAGTGTATTTATGTAAGTGCATTTGTATGTGTATGTTTGGGGGTCTGAAATGGACTAATCTACTTCACAATATTCCTTATGGGAACAAATTCGGTCAGTACTGGCACCTGAACATACTTCTGGAATGAAATAATATCGTAAACCGGGGGTCCACTGTACTTCTACAGTCTTCATATTATGTCCTTGTATTGATAAAACCACTGGATGGTGAAAAATCTACAAAATTAAAAATACTCAGCTGTTGCACATATGTCTAATTCATTTTGTTGGTCTTGTATAGAGGTGTTTATCAGATGTTGTAGATTCTTGACTCTGTGAGGTGCTAGACGTTAATATTTATTTGCAGTTACTCCTGCTAAATACATTTTTCATTTTAAGAAGTGAAGGAGATTTGAATCTGCTGTTGTGCATTCCTACATTTACCCCCCCCCCCCCCGTATCCCCAATCACTCTACCAGCTTAGCTAGCATCAGGTTAGGTTAGGTAAAATTTGTCAGGAAACAGGACTTAGGTTAGGTAAAATTTGTCAGGAAACAGGACTTAGGTTAGGTAAAATTTGTCAGGAAACAGGACTTAGGTTAGGTAAAATTTGTCAGGAAACAGGACTTAGGTTAGTTTATTTTATTTATTTATTTATTAATTTGAACATGATACAGAGAAGTACAAGGAATACAATTTTTAAAGTGCAGCATGCCAAAGCCCCTTGTATGCAGAGCATTATGGGCAGGCTTAAAATTAACTTAAGATTAACTAAGAAATGATATATTCAGTGGTACAAAAATTATTGTAAAACAGATAACAGTTTAGTACAAATGAGTATTACAAAGACAGGTCATATGGTCATTACTGTGTTGCTGTGTAATCAGTAGAATGGAGTATTATGTTAGGTAATGAAGTTAAATAGTAACAAAGTTTGATTGGGTCACAGGTTGACATTTATGAGATACAATAATGAGATACATATATGAGATACAATTTATGAGATACAATTATTCAGTATTTATTTAGTTGTGAGTAAGTGATTTTCGAGAAGAGACTTGAATTTATAAACATACAGTGTTTCTTTTATATTCACAGGTAATGAATTCCAGATTTTAGGGCCTTTTATGTGCATTGAGTTTTTGCATAGCGTGCGATTTATCAGGAAACAGGATAGATGTTAGGTTAGGTTAGGTGAGATGTATCAGGAAACAGGATAGGTGTTAGGTTAGGTGAGATTTATCAGGAAACAGGATAGGTGTTAGGTTAGGTTAGGTGAGATTTATCAGGAAACAGGATAGGTGTTAGGTTAGGTTAGGTGAGATTTATCAGGAAACAGGATAGGTGTTAGGTTAGGTGAGATTTATCAGGAAACAGGATAGGTGTTAGGTTAGGTTAGGTGAGATTTATCAGGAAACAGGATAGGTGTTAGGTTAGGTTAGGTGAGATTTATCAGGAGACAGGATAGGTGTGAGGTTAGGTGAGATTTATCAGGAAACAGGATAGGTGTTAGGTTAGGTTAGGTGAAATTTATCAAGAAACAGGATAGGTGTTAGGTTAGGTTAGATGAGATTTATCAGGAGACAGGGTATGTGTTTCCTGATGTGGGTCTTAGTCATATGATGACCCACAGCTGGAGCTTTTGGTAATCTGACTGAGGCCTTCCACTGGCCTACCTCTCCACCCCTTTAAAATTATGGTTATGATTATAACTAAATTTTATTAGCTAACAGAGATGCAATTTCAGGACTGACTATTCCTTCATGAGAGAGCTCTACATGTCCATGAGTGGTTCTGATCCAAGGCACTGGATCTGCCTCTAATGAATTGATTATGATTGATTCCCAGTGCCCAGGAACTGTGTAGCCCTTTCAGGTTTAGCACTTTCCCATTATAAAAACAGGACTGTGGATTTCAATTGCATTTACTTCTGAAGTGTTTTATACATTCAAAGTCAAAATCAAAGGTTTATTTGACATTGAGGGGAAAATAAGGATGCACATGCACTCACTTAGAATGTCCTTGTTGAAAAAGGTTCAGTCTTTGAACTTTGTTTAAACCAGTCAAGGTTCAAGGAACTTTGTGTGTTTGTGCTGGTCAGGGTTCAAGGAACTCTGTGTACTTGAACTGGTCAAAGTTCAAGGGGAAAAATATCTTCAATAAACGTGTCATAGTGGATACAAAGACACAAACACAGTGTATAATGACAAAGCTTTATCCGATGTTTTACCCACTGTATGGGCTAAACATCAGTAAACAACTTATACAGAAAAAACTTGGACATAGAGACAAGCTTGTGACGATGTTTTATAATGATAATAATCTCTTTATTTCTACAAGTACAGTGGAACCCCGGTTTACGATCAGCTCCCAATGTGACCAATTATGTAAGTGTATTTATGTAAGTGCATTTGTATGTGTATGTTTGGGGGTCTGAAATGGACTAATCTACTTCACAATATTCCTTATGGGAACAAATTCGGTCAGTACTGGCACCTGAACATACTTCTGGAATGAAATAATATCGTAAACCAGGGGTCCACTGTACTTGTACGAGGTTCACAAACCATAGTTGACATCAGTGACATACTACTATATAGAAAGTCCCTTGTTATGCAGAGCATTTCCTGCAAATTAGGTCAGTTTTGTCCCAGGATGCGACTCACACCAGCCCACTAACACCCAGGTACCCATTTTATACTGATGGGTGAACATGGACAGCAGGTGTCTTACGGAAACACGTCCCTAATGTTTTCCAGCTGTACCGGAGATTCGAACTCTGGACCTCAGCGTGTGAACTGAGTGCGCTAGCACTAACACAGGAAGGTGAGGGAGACAGTATATAAAGGAGAGGGAGACAGGGACGGGACGAGGAGGAAGGAAGTGGAGAAGTAGTGCTAGAAATAATGCTGGTAGTGGTAGTAGTAAGTAGGGGATGTAGTGATGGCAACAGTAAGTAGGGGAAGTGGTGGTAGTGGCACAAGAGACAGAAAGAGGAGCAAAGCAAGGTAGTAGTAGTAGTAGTGGTAGTGGTAATAGTAATGGTGTAGTTAGTGAGACTTTTACATGGTCCAACTGAGACCGAAACATCGTCTTATATTTCTCCTATTTACCGGTTATTTGTGTATTGTTCCAGTCACGGCATTGTGTCTTTTTGCTCAGTAAAGGATTTCATTGTGCTACATTTATGCATGTTTCCGTCATGTCAGCATTTTATCCCATTTCTTTCCCAAGGTGACCTAAGTGAGCGTGTTCATATCATATCCCTCAAGTCGGCAGTCACTTGCCTTATTAATACTTTGTTTACATTCAGTGAGCGTGAAATTTCTCATTTCACGACTCAGGAAATTGTAGTAATGCGATTACAGACAAACCAGGGAATGGGTGGGATTTGAACCTGTGGTGAGCAAAACCTGAAACTCCAGGTCTCATTTACCCTGGGTTCAAACCCCACCTGCTCCGTGGTTTCTCACTACGGTGAGCCCTCCACTTAGGAACACATTGAGAATCTTCTGTACTGTGTATAATAATGATATTATACACGATAATGATATAATAATGATATGCACAATACAGATTCTCAATGTGTGTGTAAGTCGAGGACTTACGGTACTTATTCGGTCTTGTTTTACACATTTACACATCGGTGTCTGAACTATACTGCCGCCTCTTAACAAATCTTCCTTTACAGTACAAATTAATATATTAGATTTAAAACTTGTGCTTTTAATGGGTCTCTTGTGTCTAATAGATACAAGGGACAGAGTAACATCTATCATTTCAAATTCAGAATTCAAATATACTTTCTTTTATACGGTATACTGTTAATGTAGCTTATACATAATAAAAATATATTAAGCACAACAGAAAGCCACTAGCATGCAGTGACAGTGTTAATATATACATTGGTACCCCGAGTTTCGAATAGCTCCCAGCTCGAACAATTGTTAAGTGCATTTTTGTAAGTGATTTTGTAAGTGATTTTGGGGGTCTGAAATGGTCTAATCTAATTTACATTATTCCTTATGGGAACAAATTTGTTCAGTATCGGCACTCGAACAGCCTTCTGGAACAAATTAAGTTCATAATTTGAGGTACCACTGTATATGTAAGGTCTTATGTAAAGCTTCTCTGTATAGTGTGATTTCTTGTATATGTAATTGAAACATTTCATCGAAAAATTGGATAGCATGTAAACGGGCCTTTACAGTATTGCTGTCTGACACTAACGAGTTGATGATTAAGATAGAGGAGGGCCTCACTTATACAGCAGGTTAGGCTCTGAGGTACTGCTGTATGTACAGCAGTACCTCAGAACCTAGCATGCTGTATAAGTGGGGCCCTCCTGTACAGCAGTAGCTCAGAACCTAACCTGCTGTATAAGTGGGGCCCTCGTGTACAGCAGTAACCTGGAACCTAACCTGCTGTATAAGTGGGGCCCTCCTGTACAGCAGTAGCCTGGAACCTAACCTGCTGTATAAGTGGGGCCCTCGTGTACAGCAGTAACCTGGAACCTAACCTGCTGTATAAGTGGGGCCCTCTGTACAGCAGTAGCCTGGAACCTAACCTGCTGTATAAGTGGGGCCCTCGTGCACAGCAGTAACCTGGAAACCTAACCTGCTGTATAAGTGGGGCCCTCATGTACAGCAGTAACCTGGAACCTAACCTGCTGTATAAGTGGGCCCTCCTGTACAGCAGTAACCTGGAACCTAACCTGCTGTATAAGTGGGGCCCCCCTGACAGCAGTAGCCTTGAACCCTAACCTGCTGTATAAAGTGGGACCCCTTCCAGAGGGCCCCTGCTTTATACCCCAACAGTTAGCTTGACCTAATTATGTACCCTCCAGGGGGGCCCCTTATACCGGTTAGGCCCAAACATTTTCAAAGAGACAAGAGGCGAAGCATTTAAACCACCGTTACTTATCAATCATCAGTCCTTAATAGTACAGTGGACCCCCGGTTAACGAACTTTTTTCATTCCAGTAGTATGTTCAGGTGCCAGTACTGACCGAATTTGTTCCCATAAGGAATATTGTGAAGTAGATTAGTCCATTTCAGACCCCCAAACATACACGTACAAACGCACTTACATAAATACACTTACATAATTGGTCGCATTCGGAGGTGATCGTTAAGCGGGGGTCCACTGTATTTACTATTCAGTTTTGGACGGATTTTTTCAGTTGCATTTACAAAAAATTACACTGTAAATAAGAGCTGTATAAAAGAGTTTACCTATGTAATGTGATCAATAATATATACTACACTTTAGTATTAACCTGTAAACGGTCCCAGCAGATCTACGTTCACACGTGTAGAGCTACAAAAGTAGATCTACGTTTTTTTTACATATTTTCAAATATAACAAAAAAAAGTAGATCAAAGTTTTTTTACACATTTTCAAATGTAAAAAAAACAAAAAGAAGATCTACTTTTTTACATACTTTCAAATGTTGAAAAAA